ATTATCAGCATAATAAGCGCAGTATTTCAGTCATTCAGATTCCTTGTTTTGGGAATGATCATTTCTGTATCATTTTTTGCTGAAATGATAATCAGTGTGTCACTGTGGATCACTGTGTATTACTGTATGAACCAAAGTCAATACTGCAAGCACTCGAGTGCTACTCCAATCAATTGAGTTGAACTGACATTGATATTGATATCAGCAAGAAATCCAATTGATTTCCAAATTGAACGAGTTGATTCCAAAATATTGTTATCCACAAACATAAATGTCAATTGCAACACTTTTATCAAATCTATTGGATATCAAATCCAGTAACCCATTGTAACAAGCCTCGAATTATGTCTCGGAACAATGCAGCCATGACAAAATACAACACTTTACCAGGTTTGCTGTATACAACAACATATATTTGGAGCAGAGTTTGAACATATAGTTGCGCAGTTATTTGAAGTTTGTGTGTTTCTAGTATCATAACCAAAATGTGTGTTATTCCATCATCAATACTTTGCTCACAATACACTCAAACTATTACTACACAATCAGTTGTCAATGACCATGAGTAGTATATGTAGTGCACTGGATGATACCACTTGTTTTAAGCAAGACTGCTAAAATATTCAAAAGTTGACGACATACTTTGATACATTCGTCCATGATGATTGTGATTGATATTGAACGCATTTGGGTTGTGGTTACAATGTGAATTCTGGTTTTAGAACTAATCAGAATCGGATTGTCTGGAATTGTCTGGAATTGTTGATGTGCTAGATTGGTGTTTTCACCTATAATCACTGCTAAATTTGATTCAAAGTTGTCAGGTGTGATATCCTGACAAATGCCGACATTATCAAAATGCTTACCGTATACAAGTTGATTAAAGTTGCAAGTTGTCTGCCAAACTCATACTTGATGCTTCAATCGGACACGATTAGATGGTACAAGGATGTGTCAACAGAGCCATTATTTGTCAAAAAGCGTATGTTACAATAGTAAACTTGAATTTGGACTTTTCATGTTAAATGCATCTCAATCCCTTGAATGGACACAATTGTATGATGCCAGTTTTATTAACAACATTGAATTATCAAATAATTGGAATGGTTGAAAATATGCCATATCAGTTGCAAAATACAACTATCACTTTCTACTCTTCAAATCTGGTTGTATTAGTGGGAGTTGTATAACGTATTGCTTCAATCCATGAATGGGTTGTACCTGCTCTGTGCCATCAATTGGGTTGAAAGTCTGCTTTTTGAACCCTTTAAACTGGTGAGGCGGAACCACAAAATAAAGTTTGGGTTCATCATACAAATTGCACAGTTTTGTAAGAATATCAACTCCACAAATAGGATGTTCAGCAACAGCTGTAAATTGGAACATTCCCTGTTGACTGAGTGAATCAATTGCTGCAAAA